AAGAGCAAGATAAATGTAACTCATGGTCAAGTAAGGAAACCAACTGAAGTTAACCAAGAAAACCTCACATTTGAGAATTATCACATTATAACCAAAATGCTAAAGGACTTTAAAAAAAAAGGTAGAACCCATAAATAAAGATATGAGCAACTTCAGAAAAGTGATGGAGAATATTAAAAAATGGAAATGCTAAAAATACAGTATCAGAAGTAAAGAACTTGGTAGGCTTAACAGTAAGTTGGACAATAACGGAGGAAAAAAACTTGGAAAAGAGATAAATAGAAAGCATCCAAATTGAAAGTCAAAGAGAAAAAAATGATAAATACAATAGAATATTTGGGTCTATTGAACAATGTCAGTTGGTCTAACACTTGTATCATTGCAGAAAAAAAAAGAGTAGAAAGAATGGGCAGAAAACAATATTCAAAGAGATAAAAGATCAGAATTTTCCAAAACTGACAAAAGATACCAACTTATAGGTCCAAGAACTGTAGCCAACATCAAGAAGAATAAATACAAACAAACCAAAAAAAACCCCACATGTAGGCACATCCTAGTCACAATTCTGAAAACCAAGTTTAGAGACCAGATCTTAATGACAGCCAGAGAAAAAAGACATTACACACAGGGAGCTAAAATATGAACTACAAATGACTCTTAAAAATAATGGAGACAGAGATGGAATGAAATGTTTAAAGTGCCAAAAGGAAAAAAAAAATCTGTCAACCTAAAATTTTATACACAGTTGAAAATTATCCTTCAAAAATGAATGTGAAATAAAGACATTCTGACACAAAGAAAGCTGAGAGACTTTATCTCCAACAAGAAATGCCAAAGAAGTTCTTGAGGCCAAACAGAAATGATACTAGATCTGCAAGAGGGAATAAGAAAGTACCAGAAAGGATAAATAGCTGGACAGATTAAAAAGAGACATATTTTAGTACCTTCATTATACACACATATTTATAATATTAAAAAAAAAATCAAAACCCCCTACAATGTATGGTGGGTTTTGTAACACAGGTAGAAATAAAATATAGGACAATATCATAAAGGATGGGAGAGGGATAAATGAAATTATGCTGTTGTAAGTTTCTTATATATTTATGAGATAGAATAATATTATTTGAAGATAGACTGTGGTAATTAAAGATGCAAATTGTAATTTCTAGAGCAACCACTATATTTAATGTAAAAAAGAAACACTAGAAAGACCATCTAGGAATTTAAATGGAATATGAAAAAAAATACCTAATTACCCCAAAGAAGTCAGGAAACAAGGAATAGAGAAACACCTGACAAATGGGAATGAGTGAATGAAAACAACTTCCCTTAACTACTATTACTGAGTGGTTTTGGAATTTAGTTTTGCTACAGACTTTATCAAGTCTGTTTTTCATGAATTAAACCTAAAACTACAAGGCAAAATATAGCTATATGTGGAGCTTATACTGCAGTTAAATCATTTCGACACAATTAACATTGTTTGAATCACAAATAATATAAAGCTGCTTTATACATTTCCTATATGGTCAAAAGTTAAGACAAGAAGCAAGATGTCCATCCTAACACAAATTTGCAGCAGTTCTATTTTCTGAACTCAAACTACAGTTCCAGCCGTGGTTTTTGGATTTTTTTTTTTTTTTTGGTTTTTGGATTTTGATGCAAGTGAAAAGGATATTTTCATATTTAAAATCCACTTCACTGTGCAGTTGAGGCACTTCTACCTAACTTTCAATTGGAAGTGATTAATCTGCAATGTAATGACACGCTAAAGGGGAAATATCAAGAGAATTTATAGAGTTCCAATAAAATTGTATAAATGCCTTATAAGCAATAAGTATGCTCAAGTAAAACCATATGCTCATGGATTGATACATTTGGCAGTATCCTATCTGGATGAAAAGATACTTCCAAATGAAATATGTAAAATCTCATGACAGATCACCATTAGCAGATAAACATTTGCAGTCAATTTTGATGATAGAGAACATTTAGTTTAAACTGGGGTTTAACTAAGTGAAATGTTATCCCCCTTAAGAAAAACAAAAAGAGTTCCATTCCTCTCATTGTTAGACCTGTATTACAACTCTTATTATTACACCTTATATTTTGTCAATAAAAACAAAAGTGTAGATATTTGTTTTCTCTATAGCTATATAAGTATCTACATATTCTCAATTTTGTCTCTTGGGGCACAAACCCTAAAATATTCACTATTGGGCCCTTTACAGAAAGAAATCACCAACCCCTGGCTAAATGCAGTGTTTTCCACAGCTGCTACTGCGTATTTTGCTTTGGAACCACACACAGTCTCCTATACACGCCACTTTTGTTGAGTCACCTGGAGAAGGTAACGAGGAGATAGAACGAAGTTGAGAGTTAATTCAGTCCTGAGGTTAAATAATGGTAGCTAACGTTCATTGAGCAGATAAAGTATATAATAAGAACTCAGATAATTCATCACTTTGTACATATTTGCTCATTTAATAAATACTCACAGGAATCTTAGGAGATAGTTAATATTCCCCACCCCATTTTACCCAAGCTGAGAGAGTGAGTTGACAAAGATCATGCTGATAAGTAAGGGATGTAGAGGTTTACAGGACTTAACCCAGCAATGGGACATCAGAACCAACGCCTGCAACACCAGCCGAGGGATCAAAAGTAGACGCGTGTGTGTGGGTTGAGGTGGGGGCAGCAGGTGGTCCAGGGCAGAAGAGCTGGTGTGGACATGAGCGCTCTCGGAAGGACAGGACTACCAGGTGACATGGACTGCTGAGGTCCTCGGAGACTCACAAAATCCCATTATTCCCACCATCCCAGTAATAGGACTCTTTTCCCATTCCAACCCCTTTAATAAATTCTGGTTCAGAGTGTTCTTCGAATGAGCGTGTGAAAAGTCTGAACACAATTTATTACGTGGAGAGATGAAGGCAAGTGGGTAGGAAAAATCCGTGGAATGGGGAGGGTCTGGGAAATCTGTCCTGGTTTATCTGTATATACTATAGACACACATTATACATATGTATTTATATATTTGTAATTTAATACACATCCACACATTAAAGCCGTACGTATTAGCAGGGTTTAGAATTTAAACATAAGTATAATGTTCTCAACCTTCTGCAGTGGACACTTCAGAGCATTTTCAGAGACTATAAATAACAATAAAAATCATAGAGTGATCAGACTGCACGTACTCAAGGCTAGAACCTTCAGCCCGACAGGATTTAACCTCCTCTCAATTGTTTTTCCAACCAAACATTCCTCCCCCGGCAGGATCCCGGGGTCGTCCCATCCGCCAATGACGGTTTCAGAGAAGCAGTCCTGGGGAGGGGTATTATCTCCAGGAACACGTCCTGTCAACTTTGCAGTCGAGTCACCTATTTCGGTTGGTAGCGGCCGCTATTGCTTTAAAAAGACAGAGGATTTCGAAACAGGGAGGAAGGGGGGGGTCAGGAAAAGGAACTCAACTGCCTTTGATAACCTCCCAACAGCCTTTCCTTCTCCAGGACGCGTGCTCGGCTGGGGCAGCGCCCGCATCCCCGGCCTGGCGGGCGCGCGCGCCTCCTCTTTTCCGGGCGCCCACCTTCGCGGGGAATCCCCCGCGGCCAGGCTGGGCTTCTGCCGGCGGCCGCCCCGCTTTGTCTCCGACGTCGCGCTCCGCGACTCGCTCGCTCGCTAGCTCGCCCCTTTACCCCGGTGCGGGCTGTAACCCGATCTCCCATTTCCTGGTGGATTCTCTTAAAGAGGCCGCGGTCGAGAAGCAGAACAAAGGCTATTGTTTTACTTCCTCCTTCGGATTCCGCGTCCTTACCGGAATGTCCCTTCCTATATAATTATTTTCATTGCGTCTGCGCTCGGCGGGGGGTGGGGAAACCCTGTGCCTTTCAATGTATCCAAGAGACGGAGCTAGGGGAGGGGAGGCGTTTAATAAAACCTGTTCTGAGGTTTCTGGGGCCCCGATGGAACGTTTCTCGGCGTGTCTTCCGCGAGCCAGGCGGCGGCCCAGCGGAGCCTAGGACGCCCCGCGCCAGGCCGGCGGGGGCCGCGCCGCCCGCCTAGTTAGCAGCCGCGGCCTCGCGCGGCCCCGCTCCCCGGGATCCTCCGCCCGCGCCCCTGCCGCCGCCCCTCCCCCACCCCGGCCCGGCTTTTATTTCTCCGATGCGGGGCTGTAACCCGATCTTTTATTTCCTGGTGGCTCCTTTAAGAGGCAGAGCTCAGTGCTGGGAATTCACGTCAGTTTCTGCACTGAAACTCTCAAGATCAATGAGCAAAGAGCTTTCTCAGTTCTGCCTTTCAGTTTCTCTCTTCCAGGAAGGAAAACATTCGAGAGGGAGAGCGAGGGAGAGCGGCGGGAGGGCGGGGGGCGGGGGCGCCGGCCCGGGTGGGAGGAGAGAGCGGGAGGCCGGCCGGGCTGCGTCCCGGGTCGCCGCGCCGCACCGCGACCTGCAGACCCCGCCGCCGCGCCGCCCGGCTCCCACGCCCCCGCCGCCCCGCGCGGCGACTCCGCCGGCGCCCGCCCCGCCCCGCCCCCCCAAAGACCCCCGGGGCGGCCGCCGGGAGAGATGCTGCAAGAAACTTCTTAAAT